GGAAAAACATCACATTAGCCTATGCAGCAAAAAAAAGAAAGAAGCAAAAGATGTTGGCAGAGTGTAGATATGCAGTAAAGCAGAGCACAAGCTGTTTAAATAATAAATTAGGTTTATTAAGAAGGGGGAAAAAACTTTGTAAGAAAGAGGAGTGAGAAAAGAGAAGTCTGTCTAACTGGTTAGGAGGTGGCTAGTAAGGAACAGAAGCTCAGCAGGTGCATTGAGCCAATCAGGAGACACGAAGCAGACTATTTGAAAACAGTAGGAAGTCCCTAATCTCAAGATGCTAATTTTTCAGAATAAGCCAAAATGATTTCCTCAATGTACATTGTGCTTGTCAGAAAAAAAAGTTGTTGGTCTTAAAGCTGCCATGGGACTCCATTTTTCTCTCTCTCTCTCTTTCCTTCTTCCCCCCAAAAGAGGAGCAGCAGCCCTGGAGAAGGAAGCAGAAGTGTGAGAGAGAGAGAGAGAGAAAGGGAGGGGGAGGCAAGAGGCAAGAAACTGGAAGCAGGAAGCAAAGAGCCACCAAGGGAGCTGGTAAAACAAGCTAGGATGCGGCTGTAGCAGCAGTCCTGGAAAAGGAAGCAGGAGAAGGAAATTGCTTGGGGGTTGGTTCTGAGCCCTGCGGGGGCTGGAACCAGTTCACGGGCCACATGTTTGACACCCCTGCAATAGATTTTGCATATTCCAGCAAACATATCTAAACAGTGTCCCATCAAAACTTTAGCTAGTTTATTCCTTCCTAAATTCTTCAGCCTGATCCCAGACTTACTCAGAAATGAGCCAGTGGGGTACAGTTGGACTAAGCTCTAGAAGATCTGAGCTAAAACACCTATACTTCCATGGAAGTTCATCAGGGACTTTGGGTCCAATAACTCTCTCTCAGCCTAACCTGTTTCACAGGGTTGTTGTGAAGAGGGAAAAGGAAAACAATGTATGCCGCTGGGAGTTTGTTGAAGAAAGGGTGGGATAAAAATGAACAAGAAAGACCAATAGACAGAAATTGGTGTCACTGATTTAAAAAATACCAGTTCCCAAGAAAATTTTGCGTATCATTGCAACCTAAGTAGTTTCTTCTCCCATTTTATTCAGTGGGGCTTACTCTCAGGAAAAAGGTTTTAGGATTGCACCTGTAGTTAACCTGTATCCCAAGCAGAAAGCAAAAACCCTTCAACAAGAAGACCGCATAAGAAATAGAATCGGTTGACGTTTCTTATATTCAGTCTTGCCATTTCTTATGGCATCCCTGAACACAAAATGGCAATATTAAGGTTATTTTGCCAGGATTTATTGAGCTGTATATGTGTTTCACTAAGTAAGAGATGGGGAAAGAAGAGAACTTGCCTAGCTTCTTGAGACCAAATGTACCATTTGCTTAGAAAATAGCAGCGCAGCATGAAAGTTCAAGAAACAAAATTAAATGAGCTGTGAAGATTATTGAAAAGCCATCACAGATATAATGAAAAAGTTCCCTGTCTTCTCTCCAGTACTGTAGAGGGAAAACCTGCTCTGAATTGTTAAACTCAATTGAACATACGTGATAAAGAAGAGGCTGGGATCTTAAGCAGGATTTATCTGACAATAATCCTGCAAAAATTAAATGACATTTTGCCACTTAAACTCTGTTACATTTGTGCATGTTGTATATCATGGGAGAAAGTGGACTGGGTTTTGGAAAAGAAGGACATGATTCTGCAAAATGAAGTTCCCATCTATTTCAACAGGAATATAAAGCTCATGCTTAGGGCTGCCAGCTCTGGGTTGAGAAATATCTGGAGATTTTGGGGGTGGAGCCTGAGGAGGGCAGAGTCTGGGGAGGGGAGGGGAGGGGAGGATCTTAGTAGGGTTTTAATGCCATAGAGTCGACCCTCCAAAGTAGCCATTTTCTATAGGGGAACTGATCTTGGTTGTCTGGAGAGCAATTATAATAGCGGGAGATCTCCAGGTGCCACCTGAAGTTTGGCACCCCTACAGACATGCTTCGACGATGCTTAATTGTAGGTGGTGTATACTCTAAATCAACAAACAAATCATTTAAAAAGGGATCTGTACATAATTCTGTTGTATGATGTTCTGTTCCCCCTAAATGTTCATAAGGAAGCATCATGAAGCTCATGGAGTTGGAGGAAAGAGGCCACAAATTTATGAAGGCCAAGATCAGAGACCCCCAACCTTTTCGAGCCTATGGGCACATTTGGAATTCTGACATGGCATTAGGGCTGCCAAGTGGGGACGGGGGGGCGGGTAAACCCCCGCTTTGGAGGCCCAATTTCTGATGCCGCAGAATCGGGCCCCAGGGGGAACCCCACCCCTGCGTGCGCATCACCAGGAAGTGACGTGGGCACGCCGGCACGCTGGGGGCGGGGCCACGGCCATACAAGGGAAAACTCTATGGTTTTCCCTTGTATGGCCGTGGCCCTGCCCCCAGCGTGCCTGGCGTCCTCCCGTCACTTCCGGGTGGCGTGCGCGCACACACACACCAGACGCCAACTGGGAGCCTCCCGTTCCCAGCGAAGATACACTTGGCAACCCTACATGGCATGGTGGGCGCAGCAACAAAATGGCTGCCACAAGAGGTCACGCCAGCTGCAAAATGATTGCCACAGCTTGATTTCAGTCACACAGTGTAGATTCTTGTGCTGAGGTGTAATATTTTTTAAAATATATATTTTAAAAAAAAAATCTGCACAGCCAATCAAATCTCCAGTAGTCAGTCAGAAGCCTTGCTGCGCAAATGCCTTACCTTGCCCCACCCACTTCCTGAAAACACTTGGTGGGGACCAGAAAAGGTGTTGGTGGGCACCATGGCACCCATGGGCACCATGATGGGGGGCCCCGGCTTAGACTGTCAGCTTCTCTCCCCCCTGTAGTTATTCTGAACAGAGGGATAACTCATAGCAGGGGAGAGAATCACTTTCTCACCTAGTGGTGCCCTGGGAGGCGCCCAGAAGTTTTTCACTTGCAAATAACTTCCAGCCTGCCGCAGGATGAACAGACGATCCTGCCCTTCCCACTGAGTTCCATAGAATTCAGTGAAGGAGATGAATTTCAATCCAAACTATGGTACTGCCAAAGCCCATTATAAACTATAATGTAAGACTACTGAGTAAGGAACTTGTAAGCCTTTCATAGAATTGGTCTATTAGCCTCTCAGCCTCATGTCAGTCAGGAATAGGGCTGCCAGCCCCCAGGTGTGGGGGGGAGTTTCCCTTGCTTTTGGGGGCTGTAATCTTTCCTCTGCCAGCTGGCCAGTGAGGGAAGCCTCACCCCTAAGCACAACCATCCACCCAGTCACCCCTCTCCTTTCCCTCCTGACCAGTTTAAAGGGCTTCAGCTGATCGGCAGAGACAATGTGGCCCACCGATCAGCTGGAGGGCCCTTTAAATCTAGCTGGAGAAAGGGAGAGGGGTGGTCATGGGCCGCACAGTCAGCTCACAAAGCCCCTTTAAAGGGAACGGAGAGGGGTGGCCAGGTGGGTGGTCACACTTGGGAGTGGGGCTTAGGGGCATCCCTGCCCACCCCCAGAACACCACTCCCCCCAAAATCCTTCCGCCAAAGCGACGAGAGGACCTGGCACCCCTAGTCTGGAAGACTCTTCTCACGTTCTGTCAAATTTTGGTTAGAGGCAGAATCTGCCTATGTCAGATATAGATCCTGTAGCCCTGCTCTAAGCCAGGTCTCCTCAGTTATGATTAGCTAGTGTCTGTGGTATGAGATGTTGGATATTCTATTCTGCATCTTCTTATGTAAGGTAGTTCATTTACACAGCACTCAGTCTCATTCTTTTATACCAGTTATACTCCATTAGAATCTAGCTTGGCATGTTTTGAATGTAAAACAGATTGTATTTGTGACAAAGAGTTAAAATGCCTTTCTTTGGTCTTTCTCTGTTATCTTTTTATTTGTGACTTAAACATTATGTATTCTGTATTTTATGAGTTTTTGCAATTTAATTTGAAGTGGTAAAAAGAGACCACTTTTTTTTGAAAAAAAATCAGCTAAGGAGGCCTCTTAAGTTACGTATGATGTGCAGCGTGTTCCATTTATTCAGCGTTTCTTTCTTTATACAACAATATACAAGCCATGGACAGCTTCTAAATGTGTAGAAATATATAACTATAAAGAATGTTTAATACAACTGCTTGTCTCTTTAATTGGAATCCTTGAAACTGCCAAGTGTCTCATTTCCTTGTATTTTCAATGATCATATTATTATCACATTTTCTGTAGCACCTACACATTAAAGTCCCATCGGTTTCAAAGGAAATTATATGGATGAAACACATTGTGCTTTTGGTGTTTGGACTCATATATGCCAAAGCTCTCCATTCAACTTCCCTTTTACCTTCTTCTTTTGGTGAACAAAATATTCCAAATAGTATATTTTAAAGGTTTTCAACCTTTGAGGCATAGTAAATTATATATTAATTAAATGTATACATATATTATTGTGCTTCTGTGTGTATTTTCAGGAGTCGCATAGTTTGTTTTGATGGTAGAATCTAGGGTTCCTTTGCACAGGAATTTGGGAAATGGAGGGAGAATGCTTGTATGTTAATTTGTATTGATGTCGTGCTACTGGATACCTCATCACTGTAGGACTGACTGATGCTTTGTAAGAACTCAGATACCTCAGGAGTAGGGGACAGGTAGTTATCCAGTTAGCTCTGTAGCTTCTAAACAAAGCTGCATTAAGAAAAGTGCTTTTGTCAGCCTTCATTGTGGTGACCTGTAAACTAAACAGAAGTGAAGGCTCTTTTCAGCTTTGATTGCATGCTGTTCCTTTGCTTTCCTGGTGGCAGCTTCATGACATTGCTGAGTTGTTGTCTTACAGTTTTTCTTACCAACTTAATTAATTAGCACAATGTCACTCCTGTTGCTTTTTTAATGCCTGCGATAGTTGATGACATCAGTGTTAACCTTTTCTACCCCAAGGTCATGAAGCTAAGTTAGCAGACTCCTTTTCTTATCTAATGCTCTTGGTGTGCATCTTTTTGCAGCTGGGGGACTCAGGGTGACTTTTCCACAACACACGCCCTTCCAGCAGTGAAGGTGAAGCTGTTTACCGAGAGTACCGGCGTGCTGGCATTAGAAGACAAAGAACTTGGGCGGGTAAGGGCCGTGATACCTCTTCATTTTTGTTTCCAGGATGAAGAAAGTCTTCCTGGCAACATCAGCAGTAACAGCTTTATGAATCCAAGTCTCAAAAGAACACAGACTTTCTACCCTGCAGTGATGGGAATTTAAAACATTAGATATCTTATCTTTGGCATGACTTCGCAATGGCAGAATTACAGCTGGCGAAACATCCCTTGAACAAGGAGGGGGATTGGCAGCTATTTCAGAGAAACACACATTGGCGGAATAAGAAACATAAAAAGTGCTTTCAAAATGGCAATATTTCTGTATGGGCAGCTTAAATCTGGGTTGCGTTTCTTTTAGCATACTGATCTGCAAGAGCTTGCTTCTTTGCTTCAATAATAGTCCGTCTTTCTCACAGAAACGGTTCCCGGCGGCACTTAAGGAAGCGATGGTCCGCCCTCTCCTGAAAAAACCAACTTTGGACCCGGCCGAATTGGCCAACTATCGGCCGGTGTCTAATTTGCCCTATTTGGGCAAATTGATCGAGAGGGCGGTGGCAACACAGCTTCAGGGCTTTCTGGATGACGCTTCTGTCCTAGATCCACTTCAGTCCGGCTTTCGCCCTGGTTATGGGACGGAGACGGCGCTGGTCGCCCTTACTGACGACCTCCGGAGGCATCTGGATCGAGGGGGTGTGGCCGCACTGGTGTTGTTAGATCTGTCGGCTGCGTTCGACACGGTCGACCACCAGTTGCTGACCCACCGCCTCGCCGACGTGGGGATTCAGGGACTTGCCCTTCAATGGCTTGCCTCTTTTCTCCAAGGTCGGGGACAGAGAGTGGAAATCGGGGAACAGCGGTCCCAGAGGTACCCACTTGAATGTGGTGTTCCTCAGGGGGCAGTGCTTTCCCCGATGCTTTTCAACATCTATATGCGCCCTCTCGCCCAGATTGCCAGGAGGTATGGGCTGGGTTGTCATCAGTATGCAGATGACACCCAGCTCTATCTGATGTTGGGCGGCCGGTCGGGCTCCGACCCTGAAGATCTCCAACGGGGATTACAGGCTGTGGCTGAGTGGCTCAGGCTGAGCCGGTTGAAGCTAAACCCAGCGAAGACGGAGGTCCTTGGCCTGAGCCGGAACGGTTTGGGGTTGGGGCTCCCTCTCCCGACCTTCGATGGGGTACCTTTGGTGCCTGCGTCGGAGGTTAGGAGTTTGGGAGTGCTCCTGGACTCCTCCTTAACGATGGAGGCCCAGGTAGCAGCCACTGCCAGGTCTGCATTTTACCACCTGAGGCAGGCTCAGCAGTTGGCCCCTTTCCTCGACCGCGAAGACCTGGCCACAGTGATCCATGCGACGGTCACCTCAAGGCTAGACTACTGTAACGCTCTCTACATGGGGCTGCCTTTGTTGCTGATCCGGAGGCTGCAGCTGGTGCAGAACGCGGCAGCTAGGCTGCTGATGGGCCTCCCCAGGTGGGAGCACATCAAGCCTGGGTTGAAGGCGCTGCACTGGCTGCCAATAGCATACCGAATCCGCTTCAAAGTGCTGGTACTTACCTTTAAAGCCCTATATGGCCTGGGTCCGACCTATCTGAGGGACCACCTTTCCCCGTATATACCCCCAAGAGCACTTCGGTCGGGGACCATGAGCCGCTTAGTGGTTCCGGGTCCCCGAGAGGCACGATATGCCACGACAAGGGCTAGGTCCTTCTCAGTGGCGGCCCCTACCTGGTGGAACGAGCTCCCGGAGGAGATCAGGGCCCTGCGGGATCTTGCGCAATTCCGCAGGGCCTGCAAGACGGAGCTCTTCCACCAGGCCTTTATATAGGGGCCGCCGCTTCCACCACCACCAACGGTGGAAATACCATCAAGCTGGAGTGCCCTTGAAGCCTGGCGACGAGGTGAATTATATGAACTACACGGCAGCAAGATCAGCCGATTAACGGGAACGACTATTATAACTAATGTTGACAGGGAGTATTCCTTGTGGGCACCAACTGTAGACCATCTTGGAATTATAGCACATTGTTATTATTAATGTTATGTTATTGGTTGTGATTGTGATTTTATTGAACTTTATTGAATTTTATGTATGGCTTAGGCCTCTGTAAGCCGCCCTGAGCCCGTTCGCGGGGTAGGGCGGGGTAGAAATACCCGAATAAATAAAAATAAAAAATAAAAAATAAAACCCAAGACCGATTACAAAAAATAAAAGCCAACCATTTACAGACTTTCAACAGACATTAAAAATGATAGAACAGATTTAGAGTCCAGTGGCACCTTTAATACCAACAAAGTTTTATTCTTTAAGGTGCCACTGGACTCTAAATTTGTTCTACTACTTCAGACCAACACAGCTGACCACCTGGATCTATTAAAAATGACAGTATCCCTTTCATAAGAATACTATCCAGAAAGATTCCAATTTGTACTTTCTACAGAATGACACTAGTGTGGGAACCTTCCTGACTTTATCAGGCAAGTTACAGTGTTGTGGAGGGCACAGTGTTTATTTACTTACATACTCCATTTATTTCAAAGAAAAAGCCCTCACTTCAGACAGAGAGGGAGGTGTGTATTACTCATCACCTTTAGACTGGTGGAACAGAATTGAAAATGGATCAGAGCTATTATTGCTGTTGAAGGTGGTTGAGATGTTTTTGCTGTATTCTGAGATCCTTTACTTGCGATACCTGTAAGGGCACCTCTCTGTTGGGGTTTGAGGTGCCATGTGTTATGCTGCCTCCTTGCCTTCCTTAGTGCTTCCTACCTATTTTCGCTGTCATCAAAGGCTCTTCCGTTAGAATTCTTAGTTGGATCCAAAGAACAGGATGGGTTAGTTCTTTTTGGTAGTATGACAGAATAGTTAGCCACGTGGAGGTCACTCTGAGGTACAGGGAGATCTTTTACACTATATAAAACAGTAATTTTCTCTTAAACAGAGTTTATTAGAAGTATAGCAGCATAACAGTTTCAGTACAGTTCATAAGCACAATGATTTCAGATAGGTATGGTTCTACTTTTTTCTCTAAAGTTCCTTAAATGGACCTATCCACAAAGGCTTATTGTCTCTCTTTTCACATAAGTTAATAACTTCCACAAAGCTTAATTTCCTAACTTGCCATTTAGGCTATCAATTTCCACACAGAGTACAGATTTCTCTCACATTACAGCACACAGTGAACTAACGCTCTCTGCACAAACAAATTAACTCCACCCCCTAGAGTACAACCACTGTCCAATTATAACACACTTCAATCACCTATGTAGCCACCCTATTTCTTACTCTAGAGGCCTGCATTTTAAATCACAGCAACGTACATATGAAATCCCACATTAAATCACAAAAATGAAACACGCAAAAATATTTACATAGCAAAATACCACAGTGGTGGTTGGATTTGTAAAATATATATCTCAGCACCTTTAGTGACAGAGGATATTTGAAATAAACAGTCTACTTAGCATTAGAGAAGAAACTGAGAACACAACCCAAGAGAAAAATGTAAGTGCAGTTCTTTTTAGGGGTGTGCAAAAGAAACTTTTCAGTTTTTTTTCAAATACGTGTCTATTGGACACACAAAATATCGGTATTCCAAATATTCCCAAATACCAATAACAGTTTTGTATTGGGATTCAGGTAAATATTTGGGAAACCCAAATTTATTCAGCTGCATTATATAATGGAGAAGGGATTTAAACTTTAAATGCTTGCTGAGTTCACTCATCGAGACATGCTGCAGCAGTGGTGCAACTCTGCGAGTAAACTCAGCAAGCATTTAAACTTTAAATGCATTCTAGGCATGCCCAAATAAAAACCAAATAATGGCCCCGGTCACACGGGCAGGAAACTGCAGAGGAGAAGCGTGGCTGTTTGCCCTGGGGCAAACTACTGCGCAGTTACGTGATCAGACCTCCTGTGGAGGTCCTGTGGAGGTACCGTGGAGGTTCCATGGCAAGGGAGAGGTGCCGATCACAGGACAAGCTGGTGCACAACAAAGAAGTGCGCGCCGCGGCAAACTGTTTTTTATTTTTGTGTACATGACAAATGTGCATGCTCCGTTGGGTGCGCATGCGCATCCACAGAGACATGGACAAAAAAACCCACCTTATTTGCAAGGGGACATGGGCGGGCGCCGGATGCCACTGGAAACGCGATCAGACGCCCGCCCTTGCCCTGCAGTTTCCGGAAACTAGTACCTCCAAGGTACTAGTTTTTTGCCACGCAGTTTCGGCTGGAAGCCTCGGTTGAGCCACGGGAGTGCTACGCTTCCCAGATGTGCTGGTGAGATCGCGCCCGGAAACTCCGGCTGTTTTCCGTCTCACTTGTGTGGCTTCTGTTACGTGTGACCGCAGCCAATATTGACTTTTATTCAGTTGCAGCTATTTCAGTAGCCAAATACAGATTTCTGATCTGTATTCAGCTGAATAAACACCCAAAAAATACCAGTAAGGTATTTTTTGGGTATTTATTCAGCTCGGTATATACCAAGCACACACTTCTAGTTCTCTTCTGTTCAGGAATAATAGTAGGAGATGTGAAAATAACTCTCCCTAGTTTCCTCACTTCGGGGCTCAATGGAAAGTAAAGATACTGTATGTACCTAGCTAATGTATCCTGTATACGGCTGACATGTAGAAGACCCAGGTATGTTTCTGATCAAGCAGATATTTTACCTCAGGCAAGCCAAATTAAGGCAACCCAAGTGAGGACTGTCTAGGGGTGCCAGCCTCCAAGTGGGACCTGGGGATCCCCTGGAATTACAGGTCTTCTACAGACAAAAGAGACCAGTTCCCTTGGGGGAAAATGGATGTTTTGGAGGGTGGACTTTGTGGCATTGTACCCCACTGAGGTCCCAACCTGGATCTGGCAACCCTTTCCCCATCTCCCACTGGTGGCTGGGGGGATCTGGCAACCCTAGGACTGACGGATCAATACAGACCATCCCTGCACATTGCCAGCAATCAATGGTTCCAGGTGTTTGTTGTATAGAATTATTTATTGATCCATCACCTGACAAACAAAATCA